TACTTATTCCTTATACATGAAAAGTCACAATCTCTATACGTGTTCAAAACATTTAAAGCTGAAGTTGAAAATCAACTCAATAAAAGAATTAAGTCTGTCAGATCTGATCGTGGTGGTGAGTACTATGGCAGATTTGACGGGTCAGGTGAACAGCGTTCAGGACCTTTTGCCAGGTACCTAGTGGAGTGTGGAATTGTCCCACAGTATACCATGTCAGGATCACCTAGCATGAATGGTGTAGCTGGAAGACGAAATCGAACTCTTAAAGATATGGTTAGGAGTATTATTTGTCATTCCACCTTACCAGAGTCACTCTGGGGAGAGGCACTAAAGACGACAACTTATATTCTGAATAGAGTACCAACTAAAGCAGCAACCAAAACACCTTATGAGTTTTGGACTGGGCAACAACCTAGTTTGAAGCATTTCCATGTGTGGGGTTGTCCAGCTGAGGCAAGGCCTTATAAGCCAAATGAAAAAAAATTGGACTCACGAACAGTAAGTAGTTATTTTATTGGTTATGCTGAAAGATCCAGGGGATATAAATTTTATGATCCCACATTAAAGACAATTTTTGAGACGGGAATTGCTACGTTCTTTAAGGATATTGAGTTTGGGGGGAAGAATAAAATCAGGAACTTTGTCTTGGAGGAAGAATCGATAACAATTCCAGAATCGATTCAAACAGTTACTTTTGATAAAGTAAGTTTGGAACCTCCACAAGGTATTGTTAATGAACCCCTTACTCAAGATGATTTGGTTGGTCATGAAGAACAAACTCAAGCTCCTCAACAACCTGTGCATCATGAGCCAATAACTTTGCGGAGATCCACTAGAGAAAGAAAAAGTGTTATTTCGGATGATTACATAGTATTTCTTCAGGAACATGAGGAAACTAATGGTATGATGGAAGATGACCCAGTTAACTTCCGTCAAGCCATGCAAGGTTCTAACTCTGAAAAGTGGATTGAAGCAATGAAGGAGGAGTATAAGTCAATGCAAGACAACAAGGTTTGGGAACTTGTCCCATTACCAGAAGGTATGAGACCCATTGGTTGCAAGTGGATATTTAAGACCAAACGGGATTCTAAAGGTAATGTGGAAAGGTATAAGGCTCGTCTGGTAGCTAAGGGCTATACCCAAAAGGAAGGGATTGATTTTAAAGAGACTTTCTCTCCAGTTTCATCGAAAGACTCTTTTAGGACAATCATGACTCTTGTAGCACATTATGATTTGGAGCTTCATTAAATGGATGTCAAGACGGCGTTTCTTAATGGCAACATTGATGAGACGATTTATATGGTGCAATCAGAAAATTTTGTACAGGGAGAAGTATGGTTTGCAAACTGACAAAATCCATTTATGGACTAAAACAAGCATCTCGTCAATGGTACTATAAATTTCATCAAGTAATTCTCTCATTTGGCTTCGAGATGAATATTGTTGATGATTGTGTATATCACAAGTTTAAGGGGAGTAAGTATATTTTCCTGATCTTATATGTTGATGACATTCTACTTGCCACTAATGATATGGGCATATTGCACGAAATCAAGAAATTTTTATCAAAGAATTTCGAAATGAAAGATCTTGGTGATGCGTCTTTTGTATTAGGAATTCAGATACACCGAGATCGATGTCGGGGTATTTTAGGATTATCACAAAGGAGCTATATCGAAAAAATTCTTAAAAGGTTTGACATGCATGAATGTAAATCCGGGGATACTCGAGTTGCTAAGGGAGACAAGTTTAGTTTCAATCAGTGCCCAAAGGGAAATTTGAAAATTGAGGAAATGCAAAAGATTTCCTATGCATCAGCTGTAGGAAGTTTGATGTATGTCCAAGTATGTACGCGTCCAGACATAGCATACATAGTTGGGGTTCTAGGCAGATATTTAAGCAATCCAGGAATGGACCATTGGAAAGCAGCAAAAAGGGTCATGAGATATTTAAAGAGAACAAAAGATTACATGCTCACATACAGGAGGTTAGACCAGTTGGAGATCGCTAGGTTTTCTAACTCGGACTTTGCAAGATGTCAAGATAGTTTGAAATCCACTTCAGGTTACATTTTCATGTTAGCAGGTGGTGCGGTTTCTTGGCGAAGTGTCAAGCAAACCGTTACAGCTTCATCCACTATGGCAGCAGAATTTGTAGCATGCTATGAGACGCGAATCACGGAATATGGCTGAGAAATTTTGTCACAGGGCTGCAAATAGTGAAAGGCATTGAAAGACCACTTAAGTTATATTGTGACAACAAATCAGTTGTATTGTATTTCAACAACAACAGAAGTTCGACTAAGTCAAAACACATCGACATTAAGTTCCTAGTTGTTAAGGAAAGAGTTCAGAGTGGACAGATTACCATAGAACATTTAGGGACAAACTCCATGATAGCAGATCCTCTAACTAAAGAACTTCCGCCCAAGGTCTTTCATGAGCATGTTGCTCACATGGGTGTTTTACAGTTTGAGGAATTTGTGGTTTAGTGAGAGTTAGTCATTTTCATATATTTTATGTTCTATGTTTAATTTTATATATGTATACATTGTTTTTGGACATATTTGGTTATCTATAGATATGCGGTTTTCTTGTTCATTCATTACACTTTGTACATTAAGGTTATTATATCGATCTCGATAAGTTAAAGTTTGGACCAGTTGAAAATAGACGTGTACAGATCACCTTCATGTAATTTTTCATGCTACACATTTCATGATGAATCCATGTCATTTGGTTATGTCAGGATGAATAATCATTGTTGGTTTTAGTTGTGATGATGCAATGAAAAGCTGGTTTGGTTCTATATCCTGATATGATTAATGAACAGGACTTTTGGAATATGCTAAAGGAATATAATGACAATATTGAGCTCATAAAGTCTAACACATTTGTAAGGTTGTAAGGACATATATATTTGTGACCATTATGACAAAATTTGGGTCATGTATATATATGATACATATTTAAATGTGTTAGGATCATTATTTATTAAGCCAAATAATAAAGTGATATGACTAAATTAAAAAGGTTTGACTAAAGACATATGTCATGAAAATAAAATTGTATAGAGACTATAGAGCAATTTCTAATTTGATGAGGGGCCAAATTAGAAATACTAAAACTTAAGTAATTAACCTAATTTTGGTTATTTTAAAAGGTCATGGTCCCTTTCTGGGAGCACGTAGACAGAACACAGTTACAGTCCCGTTCTTTTCTTTCTATCCCCATCAAGAGAGAAAATCAAGAAGGAAATACATGTGCTCTTCAAGTGGAAGACCATAAGATCAATAGTGCTCTAAAAGGGACATCACCATTATGGCTAATTCAAGTACGCTTTCGCATTTAGTTTATAACATGTTTACAGTATGTGATTATTTTATATTTGATCGTTAGAGTGAAGATCATATTTAATTATCAATTTATTTAACATATTTCATATATGATGCAAGCAAGAAATAGATGGTGTAATCTGAATTTGATTTGGTCAATTGCATATATATTATATATGTAAGGGGAGAAACTCTGTTAATAAATTCAAGTCAAGAGTGTTCAGATTTGGTTTGTAATTGTACTATGTAAATGATGGATATGATTATATTCATTCTTGTATGTTAGGAGTATAATGACGGGTAGACTCTTGTATTTCTTGCATACAACAGATGTGGTAGATAAATTTAACCGTCATTAATTATTATTATTAACATTAAAAAAATATAATATATATATATATATATATAAAAGATATGAGATTAAATAATATATTATTAATAAATAATAAATAAATATAAAAAATGAAATGATAAAAAAATAAAATTATAAATATATATATTTAAATATATTAAATAATTATTAAATTTAAAAAAATAAAATTATAAATTAGATGAGAGTTATAAATATATTTATTAAATTTAGAGCTAAGAACATAAATTATAATGAGGAAGCAATAGTTTCTCTCGGCTCCAAAAAAATCCATCACTTTATATATATATATATATATATATATATATATATATATATATATATATTTTTTTTTTTTTTTTGTCATATTATTATTACGAAAAATTAAATGTAAAAGTGTTTATAATTTTTTCTTCGAATAATATTTTAATACGTTGATATATTATATTTATATACTAATTAATTCATTTATCAACACATTATTTTCAACTCTAAATTCATGAAGATCCTGTTACAAATAAAAATAATAATAATTCTTATTTATTGATAAATATTATTTTTTTATATACACTAATTTTTAATAATTTAGAATTAAAACTTTTATAGAAATAATAATAATTTAATAATTTAAAAAAAATTATATGATAAATATTTAAACAATTTTTTATTTTAAAATTTTTAAAAATAATAACAAAATAAATAATTAGTTGATTTTTTGAACCATTAAAAAAATCTACAAAATAAAATTGAAAAATAGGTTTTGTTAAAAATATTTAGGCAAAATATTATCTGAGATAATTATTTATTTATTTCTATTTTTTTGTTTGTTAAATAACGTTGCTTGTAGAAGCAACGTTGTAAAAAAATCTCTTTCACCCATGTCTAATATTATTAATTTTATATGAAATAAGTTCTCCCAAATAAATTATACTAATTATTTATATTGTAATAGATAAAATAATACATTTATTATGTTCTATAAATTTTAACTTATAATAAATACTATTATTAAAGATTATATAAATAATTCATTAATAGCACACCACAAATTATGCTCCATACATTTAATGTCTTACGGTTAAAGAGTCAGAGTTGTTCCTGCAATTCATATCGGTTGAATTCATTTCAGACAAAAGAAACTTAAATTTATAGTTCCAAGCTTAATAAACAAATGAATAAAAACAAAGAATGAGAAGCAGAACAACTCATACACAACTTTAAACCACTTTACACATCTTATATAGACCAACACTACAATGACCTATCTCATTTCCCTCCTCTTCTTCTCTCTCTTTCTCTCTGCCATTCTCCATCATCATGAAGTTCCAAGACACTCATGACAACCCTTTTGGGAGCTCCACCACCACCCCAAAACACATGATCTCAAAAGTGACCTTGCTAGCCATATTGGTGATCCTAATACTAGCCATCACCCCTCTGTGGTACCCTCTGTTGAGTTACCATTCATCATCACTGTTGAAGATCAAGCAGAAGCTGAAGCACACTCCACCTTCTTCTTCTCATGATGATAACAGCAACCTGCCCTCAACATATGTGGAGAGGTGTGACATTTTCACAGGGGAGTGGGTGCCAAACCCTAAGGCACCATACTACACCAACAACACTTGTTGGGCAATTCATGAGCACCAGAACTGCATGAAGTATGGGAGGCCTGACTCGGAGTTCATGAAGTGGAGGTGGAAGCCTAGGGACTGTGACCTCCCCATTTTCAACCCTTTTCAGTTCTTGGAAATTGTTAAGGGCAAATCCATGGCCTTTGTTGGTGACTCTGTGGGTAGGAATCAGATGCAGTCCATGATTTGTCTCCTTTCTAGGGTAAGTCCAAAACCACTCTCTCTTCCAATATCATCATCATCATCATCTACCTGCAAAATTCTAAATTTCTGCTTCCACAATTATTACTCATATCATCATCATCAGAAGAAGACAAATATCACTATAACATCTACACAAATTATTATCTTGAATGTTTTCTTCATACTATCATATTCATTCATTTTTTTAGCTTTTTAAACTTTTGAATGCAGATATTCTTACAAAATTAATATTAATTGAGACTACTTTCCATTGATGTAATGGTCCAGCATTATATAATCATTACTTCTTTTACATATATTTTTATACATAATAACTGATTAAAACCATAAAAACTAGTAAATAAAGTAAATTTCTTTCATTATTATTATTATTATTATTATTATTATATATAAGCATTAATTTTAACTAATAAAAAATATCTTGTATCTGAACGTGACACCATTGCTTCAGTAACCATTATTATCATCATGAATTGTTGTTTTCTCGCTTGGCTTTGTCTTCTGATTTTTTTTTTCATATTGCTTTGGAGTTACGTAATTACGTATCCGATTACCTCGCAATAAGCCTAAACCTTTTCTTTAACCAAACTTTAAAGCCAAAAATGCCTTCATTCAATTAAACTTTTTTTCCTTTTCCTGCATCTGTGATTTTCACTCTAGTGAAAAGCAATCATTATTCTTCTCTGTGAAGAATAAAAAAAAGGTTCAATTTCCCTATAAAAAGAAATTCTATCATTTACATGAAATATTGATAGGATTTATTAAAACTAATTTGTGGGTGTTTCTTCTAAATCATATTTTTATTTATTTAGAATTATTGAATCCAAAACCTTACTTTACTTAAAATAACACCGAATTTAACTTCATTGGAAACAACTATTTATGGTAATAAATCACTAATTTAACTCTGGTTAGAACATTATTCAATACCAATTCGCTTGTTTTAATTTAAAAAAAAAAAGGTAATTAATGAAGAGATAGAAACACATAGTGATGATGATGATGATGACGAAGGATGCATGCGAAAAGGAATCGAATCTTTGGTCTGAAAACTCTCTGGAAATCACATTGAAAACCCCTGCTCACATGAAACAGAGTGTAGTGAAGTCAGTGTATCTTCATTATTTGCCCCAGTTCTTGCTTTTGTCTACTTCTGAGTCCCACATTTTTTTTTTTGGGTATAATTAAGGGTTTAATATAATGTCAACTAATCCTAATCATTAAATCCTAACAAATCCAAATTAGTTGAAATGGTTGAAACGTCACAATTAGAATATATACACTGACGAAAAAAAACAAAAAATAGTGTATATTATTGTATATTTATATTAAAATAATATTTTTTTTACATTGACATTAAGATATACGTTTTCTTATTATTTATAAGATTTTTAGATTCGTAATTAAAGGTTTTGATTAAAATATATTATTGTGATAAATATCACTGTTCTGCCAGAAAGCTGTGTCATAAATTGTCTTTGACCTGTTAACTAGTTTTGAATGGGACACATATATTTATTATTAAGGGTTGGTTTGGATTAGTTAATATAATCTCAACTTTATTCTAGACACGAGTCGGTGGGATTATAAAAATTAAAAACCATAAAGTGATTTTTTATTTAAAAATATTATAACTATATATATTTTATCGTATAATCAAATATAAAAATTCAAGATTTAAAGTTACATATTCTCTTCTTTCCATAATAAGAGATTTAAAATATGTTTATTTATTATTTTTTTCAAAATTAAAATAAGTGATTGTGATTTGTGTCTTATAATCAAGTAATTTAGGGTTTGATTTTGATGAAATAAACTATGTTAATATGAGTACTACCATTTTTTGAAAAATATTTAAAGTTATTTTATTAAAATGAAAAGATTTGTTAATTTTATAATATGATTAATGATAATAATAATAATAATAATAATAATAATAATAATAATAATAATAATAATAATAATAATAAAAAAGGCAACCTAATAAAGTGAAGTAGGTGTTTGATAAGTCCAAGTAACAAATCCTTTGGGCTTAAGTTGTTGTTTGTTTGTGAAAAATGAATAATTGCTTTTGGAATCCAACGTAACAAAACATATGGGCCCTTTAATTATTATTAACCTAAAAAAAACACATAATAATAATAATAATAATAATAATAATAATAATAATAATAATATTATTATTATTATTATTATTATTATTATTATTATTATTATTATGTATGTTTTATCACCTAATTTATATTGCAATAAATTGACATTTTTGAATCATAGAGAATAAAATGAATTATTTCATCTATCATAAAGCAATTATATTGTTTTAGTATTTTTTTCCCCTAAATTACTTTAGAAGGATAAGAAAGCATATATATAATTTTTTTTCTTTTCGATTTTATCCTTTTCTCTCTGCACTTCTAAATATTTTGTATTGATATTTGTAAAATTAACTATTTATTTTCATTTTATGAAATATAATTATTAAACTATATTAAAGAAAGAGTAATTTAATCTCACCGAATTTTACAAAAAAAATATTATTTTAAATAAAGGGATATTATAAGTAGAGGTGTCATGAGTGAATTCAGCTCTGGATTGAAAATTTTGAAAAATTTTAAAAATTTTTAATTGTGTTTGATTATGTGATATAAAACGTCACACACTTTAAATATCTATTAGAATTAACGGTTAAAAACTTACTATCAAGTCTTTCTCATTGCAGACTTTCTCTTATAAATACATATTACTTCACACTCTTCATAATACAGTTTTCTCATTTTGATCTTCGTATATTCCGAGAAGTTCCTGTGGTATCTGGGGATTTGTGCAATACACCGCGGATAAGTTCTTAAGGACATTGATTATACATGTTTCAGGAATAAAGTTTATTGGTTTCTCTGTCAGTTTTTTCAACAGTTTAAATATCTATTAGAATTAATTTTATATTAGAATCTGGATTGAATTAGAAAAATTATTTTTCTCAATCTTTAATATTTTAATTATAAAAGAAACTATTAACAATAATAAGTTGTTAAATTTTAGGTGGAATGGCCAATAGATGTATCGTATGGTAGTGATGAGTATTTCAAGAGATGGAAGTACCCTAGTTACAACTTCACCATGGCAACTTTTTGGACACCCCATTTGGTAAGATCCAAAGTGGGTGATCCAAATGGTCCAAGCAACACTGGGCTTTTCAATCTGTACCTTGACGAGTATGACGAGAAATGGACCACACAAATACAAGAATTTGACTACATCATTGTTGATGGGGGGCATTGGTTCTACAGACCAATGGTGTTCTATGAGAGGAAGAGGATTGTGGGGTGCCATTTTTGCCTCTTGGAGAATGTCCCTGACTTGACCATGTTCTATGGCTATAGAAAGGCTTTCAGGACTGCTTTTAAGGCCATCAATGGCTTGGAAGAGTTCAAGGGCACAGTATTTCTTAGGACATTTGCACCTTCTCATTTTGAGAATGGGGTGTGGAATAAAGGTGGGAATTGTGTGAGAACCAAGCCATTTAGGAGTAGTGAGGCACAGTTAGAGGGCACAAATTTGGAGCTTTACATGATCCAATTGGAGGAGTTTAAGAAAGCTGAAAAAGAAGGTAGAAAGAAGGGTTTGAAGTTCAAGTTACTTGACACCACACAAGCTATGTTGTTGAGACCAGATGGTCATCCAAGTAGATATGGACATTGGCCACATGAGAATGTAACTCTGTATAATGATTGTGTTCATTGGTGCTTGCCAGGACCCATTGACACATGGAGTGATTTCTTCCTACAAATGTTGAAAATGGAGGGAATGAGATCTGCCATCAGCTAAATTTTAACCATCTTTAACTCTTTTTTCTTGTTCATTTTATGAAGATCAAGTTTGTTCTATATCATAAATTAAATACTGTTTGAAATTTATACAAAGGAAATGGATATATACATGTTCAAGAATATACCAATGTTTCTTTCATATCCATGATCCCATCACAATAAGCTTCTAATTTGAATTATGTGTGTATTTTTTGTTTCTTATTGTACTTTGTATTGAAAATGGTGTTTTAGCAAAGTAATGTGATTGTGGATTGAAATTATTGAAATCCCATCCAAATTTCTAGGGTGGTCCCAAATTGTGATACTTGGCTTTCACTAACCATCTCATTGTTTTTGAAGTTAGGTTTGAGTTTATGGAGGATCTAAAAATTGTTTTGAATAACTTTTTTGTGATGGTTCAAGGCAGAAGAAGGTTAAACTATCACCAATTTGTTGACCAAAATAAAGTTGTGGGCTGGGTCTTTAATTGGCCAGATATATGAACCAAACTTTATTGGTGACGGTTGAGTGAAACCCTTGTTATAGCTATAACTTTTTACAAGGATTTAACAACTTGGTTTTTTAAAAAATTAACAAATATTCTTTTTTTTCAATCACAATTAATTATTAGCGCATTACTATTGTTTTTCTCCTCTCACCTTTTTTATTTTGTGCATTATTTTATGCTTGTAACCTCAAATGCACACGTCTAAACATGTTGAAAGTGTAAACTTTGAGAAAAACAAAAACAAAATTAATATCCAACTTTAGTTTCTTTTGTATTTATGCAATAATGTTGACATATTGAAAAATATATTTTATTGAATTAAATACAAAAACAAGAGAAAATGTGATTTTTTTTTAATTATAATCATTTTACTGTGTCAAAATAATAACTTTATTTAAGTAAAGCGTTGTTAAAATTTTAATTTGTGAAAAAAAAACCTGTTAAAATGGAATATAGAAGTGAATGAATAAAATGGAATAATAATTTGAATTTTTTTTAATTAAAAAACAGTGTCATAAGTCAACATGTCATGTCATATATAAAGTTTTATAATGGTTTTGTCCAAATAGAACAAGAATGAATGATATTTGTTTTTTTTTTATATATATTAAGCATATTAAATGAAATGATTAACTCAAATAAAAAAAATAAACAAATAAAAATAAGAAAAATGTTTTTTTTTTCAATGTTGAGACCATTTGCAGATTATGATGCTGTGTGCAGCAGCTCTAGGGCTTTTGTACAGTAGTGGAAGGGCCGAAAACAAGTTCGAAGGGTCCAAAATGTGTCCATTTGTTTTTTCATATCTTTTCCTATAAAATCAATCCCTTTAATTTTGTAAAAACAAAATTACTAAATTAAGTGTAAACCAACACAAAATTCACCAAATTTATCCTTAATAAACACAAGTGACCAATGTTTCATTAAAGTTTCGATTAATCGTTATTTATGGTGGATGTGAACCGTGACCAATACTTATATAACAACCATTTAAAGCATCTAAACTTCTCACAATATCTACATCACATTGCTTGATAAAAACTGTTGTCGAAGTATTTAATGTGATATTTAGTATATAATTATTGTAACCTCCTATGATATTTTATTACACAAATGACCCCAAAAAAGCACAAGGGTGAAATGGGAAAAGAATATTGAAAGAGCATAAAGCAAAACTTAGAAATGAATGAGTAATGACTACACCAAACTTTTCCATGAAGCATCAATTGCATATTATACCTCTCAACTAACATCCTCCAAATCAAGTCCACGTGGAAACCCTAATTCCAAGTACTATTCTACCCATGAAGACGATGGATAAGGGTTGCACACTTCTTGTTCACCCCACAAATTTCTTAAGCTCTCATGCATGACAACTGCCACTTTAATGCTCTCAATTATTATAACATTTTATTTTTATTTATTAGATTTATCTAGAATAATTTACAATTAATTAGTTTTAATTTCTTTTTCTATAAGTGATTTCATCAATTCAAGTTTATCTGAAACTGAGATTAAGAATTGACAGGATTTGTGTTTGCCCATTTGACTGAAATAAAATAATGTGAATTAAACTTTGTGAAAGAGAATAAAAGAAGTTTAGCACCTTAGTTTAAGCTAATAAATGACATCACATCACATCACAGAGAATGTGGGTTACAAATTAATTCTTTGTTCGAGGATAAGGTTGATTTATCATTACTTTTACTATTGTTTACACTTCTTCAACTTCTTCTTTTTTCTTTTTTTCTAAGGATAACGAGCTGTTAATATTATTTATATATATTTTTTCAAATTCTCTTTAAATAAATATTAGACTATTTCACGTATGAATTGGTTTTATGGTGAAACTTTAATATCATATCAGATCCAAAATTTAACATCTCTCTGTTTATTGTCAAGGCCAAAAATTGTTCTTTAGTTGGGTCAAAAGTCATCATTTACCTGATCCTGTAGACTTCATTGGAAGAGCTGTGTTAAAAGTTCACATCGCCTACCTCATATTATTTGATATGATTTAAATACATATTAAGCCTAATTCACGTATAGTGAATTGGTTTTATATTAGAATTTTAACAATATATTTTTAATTATATAAATAATTTTAAATTTTATATTAGATATTATATCTAATTATAATTAATAATTTGAACTAATTAATATTTATAATTTAAAAATATATTAATATGTTTTAATAATTAATAAAAAATATATAATATTTTAAATTATAATATTTTTTATTTAAATATATAAATATTTTATAAAAATCAACTAATACATCAATTTTTCTCGTATTTTTAACGGTGTTAATAAACTAGAAAGATAGGAATAAAACGAATAAAACGGGTTGCGGATTAAAATATTAATCCGCCAAAGACAAACCGGACCAACTTAGCGCACCTTTCTCCTGTTGTCATCAGTATTTGATGTTGTATAGTTTATTTGTAGTTCTTAAATGAAATAAAAAATTCTATATTTTAGTCTTATATATAAAAATATTCCACACAAGAAATTAATAAAAAAATGATTTATATAATTTTAAATTAATTATTATAAAAGTTAAGAAATTTATTATACAGTAACAAAATAAAATTATTTTATAACATCAATCAATACATAGTCTATTTTAAAAATTATATTACCGTATTTAATAAATAATTTGGACCTGTAAACAATTATCATGTATTAATAGTGTTAAATTATAATTTAACTTGCATGTACGACGATGATATTATTATTATTATTATTACTATTAACTCATCAGTTATAAAATTAAGAATAGAAAGAAGATAAGATTGCTAAAGTAGAATAATAAGTTTATAATTTTAAGTATGAAAATGACAAAAAAAAAAAACTATAACCAAAGAGAGTATATAGTAATTATGATTAATGTATTATGTGGGTCCATGACCTCATTAATACTCCTTTAATTAGTGATATGATTAACCACCCAAATTCATTTGAATGAAGAAAAAAATAGTAAAATGATAATTTTATGGATTTAACTAGCTTAGGACACTTTAACCCATGATGGCTATTTGGATCAACAATTTTTTAGTCAATGAGAGGCAATGCATCTCATCAAGGAAAAATGACACTCTTACAAAATTGTTTATGGTAATTCTCTTTTATTTTATTTATTTAAATATTTATAATTATTAAAAAAATTTTAAAATGTCTCTAAATTTATAATTTGTTCATTTTCTTAGTATTTCTATAGTCCTTGAAAATATTTTTAAATTTTAATTCAATCTTGTTACATACATTGAATTAAAGTGACAAATTATACTTTCAATGTCTTTCTTTTGAATATATATTTCTATCATATTTCATTTTCTAATGAATTAGTAAGTTGTGGAATAAAAATGGGTAGAACATATAATTAAGGTGGCGTGTTATAAAAATTGAAGCAAATGACATGTCACGTGTTGACAACATAACGTGAAGTGTGAAAATGGAAAAATTTGAATCAATGACTTCACTGTCAAGTGAAGGGAAGGGAAATTTTCAGAGATGAACAGCAATTATTTCAAGAGAAATCACCACCACATAATCACTCTTTATCAAAAGTGTTCAAAGAGTATAACGATTATAAGAATAATAGTTGAATAATTATCTTTGCAATAAAAAAAAATTAAGGATCTAATATGTTTTTTATATGATAAATTTTTATATTTAATATAATTAAAATATTTTATTAGATTTTTATTCAATATTAATTATTTTATTAAAATTTTAATTGTTATTATTAAAAAATTACCATCTATTGATGTGTGTTATTTTAATTATAAAAATATTTTATTTCATGAAATATCAGAACTAATTATAAATATGTACAAATACAATCAAACTCTCGAGAAACATTTTCATCCATAAATTTTGATAATATATAATAAATTATATATATATATATATTATATAAAACTTAAATCAAATAATATAAATATACACATAAGTTAATGATCAATGTGATATAAAATAACGATTTCTCTAATGATGATTAAAAAAATAATAATATATAAAAATTAAATATTTTTGAATTATAATAAACACAATGAATAACATATTTATCCAAAATATTTTGTTGAGATGTTACATCGATTTTATTGTGACTTTTAATAATTTTAATATTGTGTCTCGTGTTAGAATGAAAAAAAATAATGATTATTGAAGTCATTGATTATATATTAGCTAGTTTGGTGAAGATAAATTCTTATGTTTTATAATGTATGATTTTTTAATAGATACACAGGATTTGTAATTTAAATTTGTTTAATTTTGTGATGTTTTGAACTTAATTTTTTGATAAATTTTTAATTTATTTTTTATTATAATATTTGATTATACAAGAATTATAATTGTATGCATTCACCTTTATGAAAAGAAAAAAAATGATTGCTAGTGGAATTTATTGGCACTAATCACAATGTCTCCAAAAGCTTACCACTAGCTTTGCATATATTCCCATCTTTTTTTTTAGTGGCTTGTTTGGTTTAAGAAAGTGAAAGGCAAAAAAAAAAAATTTTATAATTTATAGATTATTTGATATAAAATAAAAGTTTTTTTTTTCTTTATTTGGTTTATAGAATTTAAAAATAAAAAACATGTTTGTAAAATAACATGAACATCTTTAATAAAATAATGAATACACTTTGATTTCGCACATTTATTTTTTTCATTCAAATGTTTTTAATTCTCATAATTTGAAAAAAAAAGTTTTAGTTATATATAAAAAAAATCGCTATCTAAACAACTTAGTTGCGTAAGCAAATTTTTTAATAATTTTGACTCAAAGGACTTAAAAAATATTTTAAAATTGTCAGTTTTAAATTTGAGAGAGTAAAAATAAATTTCATTTTTTAGGGAATAAAAATATATTTAAATTAAAATATAAAATAAAAATGTTTTAGTCATTGGAAAGAGTTGTTTTGCATCATTATTGTTATTATTAATTCAATTATTTGGAGGCTGAAATTAAAGTTTTGGCTTGATTTGTTATGATAAAATAATTATACAGAAACTGATATCTTAACCACCAAGGTTAGGACATTGTTTGGGGTTGTCATGAATGATGGAACCCTACAAGAACCCCACCAAGACAAAACTTAGTTCAAATGATTCTCAGATAGAAAAATTTAGTGTTCTTCCAATACCTAATTTCATTCGTAAACATCATGAAAATTATTTTTTACCAAAATAATAACTTACTAAAGTATAGAAATTTATTGACGACCAAAATAAAGAGATAACGAAATAATTAATGATATGATGATAAAAAATGGGTAGACTGAAGATATTATGAAATGAAAAATGACCTAACAGATTGGGGATTTTGGATGTTATAATGGCAACAATAACTTGTAAAAGATGAGGATTTGCTAAAAGTCATTGCTTTGTTGGGTTTTATATGTTTCACTCTCATCCAATTCTATTTTATTCCCTTACCCACCACTTCCTTCCAAAATATGCCAACTTCAGGTTACATTCTGGCAAACCCACCATTTTGGCCATTTTTTCTCATAAAATTCAAAAACATTGGACCACACAGGTCATCATAATATTATCCTTTTGGGTAATTTTATATATCACTCTGTAAATTGTAATTTTAGTACATCATTTTTTTTCTGTTTTATTTGAAAAAAAAAAAAATCTATGATTTTGGTAATCTTCAGTTTTACGTATAAAATTACAACTTAGTCTATTTGTTTTTATGCCGAAAATGTTGGACAACAACACCTGTTGAAAAATCAACAATCTGTCGGTAATATTCCTGTCTCTTGAACCACCACTTTGTTCCAAACTAGCTCTCATGTGCCTTTGCTGTGTGAACAATGATGAACTCACAACAATGGAAATACAAAAGAACACGAATTATTCCTTCTTGTCACTGGTTTTTATAGAAAGAACCATCTCTTCCTAGATAGAGGGGTTTTTCAAAGTGATTATCAGAACATGTTTTCTTAGAGTTTCAGTTTTAGACAGATCTCAGAAACAATTATTTTATTCTAAGTACTGTTCCTGTTGTTTCTTAATCAAAATTAAGGTTTCACTTACCATTGAGGTGAAATTCTAAACCAGATCAGAAAACAACATGCATTTAACTCTTGTCTTTATTCTCTCAACTAATGAGAAATCATAGTAGATATATGGATTTGAGACTATACATTGTAAATATTATTTAGACTGAGAATAATGTGTCCGTTGTTTTAGTCATTTTTATATTTGGTTTCACTATTACACAATAATTTGTTTTGGATGTAGCATTAATCATTGGATGAATAATTTGTAATACAGGGAATCAGAACCAATGGTATAAAAATATTCTGTAGCATAAATCATGAAAATGGATAATCTATATGCTGGGATTAAAAAATAATTAAAAGGAATAAAGCAGAGACAACTGATATTTCAACTGATTTTTGCTTCTGTCTTTCAATCATGAACTCATCTCAGCTTTCTTTTCTTTTCTCTTATGTGGGGGTAAAACCAGATTGCTTTTTCTTTGACATGTACAAGAAACGTATGGAGAGTAAACTTTACAATTTCATGCTTTGGAAGGAGTCTGGCTCACCAACCAGCATGAAAGTTGATCAGTAGATCTACCTGATTAGTCCATTGTACAGCTTAGTTACACAAAAGAAAATGATTAAAATAATGCAGAAATAACCACTTTGGTCTCTTGATATGTAAATATTGATTCCTGAATTTTCCAACTTATTGTCACATTTTTATGCATTCAAGGATTAGATTTATTAAACTTTTGTTTTTCTTTGAAAGACTAAATTGTAATCTGTTTACTCATTGAAGGACCCCATTTTTCATTTATTCTTAAAATAATAGTAAATATTTTCTTACCAGTTTTAGTTTCTCCCTTTTATCATAGGTTCTCTCACTTCCACAGAGGAACTGACAAATGCTACTAAATAATGAGTGCTAAAGGGGCTATTATATTCTTGGATTCCCTTTGATGGTTTCTAACACCAATTTTATTTTACTATTCATTTTGTAGTTTTTGACATGTTTTGTTGGTCAGACTTAGTTGTTTATGAATTGGCTACCATCCTCAAAGGTTCTTTGTCCTTGTGTGTACATTTTAAAAGATGTGCATAAGCATCAGAAAGGACTATTGTTTATGCAAATCTAGAAGCAGAACAGAAGCCAGAGTGTTCCATGACCACTAGTTTAGGAAAGAAGCAATTGCCCCTTAGTACAATAAAGCATTGTAGGTGAGCATATAAAACATAGTGGAACATGACCTTTTTATTTTTCTTCTTCTTTTGTTTTTTCTTTCTCCATCTATGTATGTACACGTCAAAATATCATTAATGAATAATGACACTATAACAAAACTTGGACAAGTTGAAGTTGAATTAGATATAATAAGGAACTATTTGAGAGAGTTTAGTTTAAAACTGAATTGAAATTTGAAAGGTTTATCCTAACCAAATATTGAATAAAGTTCATATTTATATGAGCCATTCAGCAAAGGTTTTGATTCAGAATATAGCTCAGCAATGACAATGAAGCTTCGGGGCAATGAGTTTCTCAATGGGAAGTACACAACAAGAACCACGGCCAAAAGTTTTCTCCTGGTACCCTTCACTCTTCTTCTCATCATGCTCCCTCTTTCTCTCATGAGGAACTCACATGAATCAACTCCTGAGGTATCTTCTGTGACTGTCAGCAGCAGTTTGAACAGCACAGAAATTAAGCAGTGTGACATCTTTTCTGGAAGATGGATGCATACTAATGGAGCACCTTACTACACCAATGAAACATGCCATTGGATAATAGACCAACAAAACTGCATCAAGTTTGGGAGACCTGATAGAGAGTACCTGCATTGGAGGTGGAAGCCAGATGAATGTGAGCTTCCACTCTTCAATGCTACTCAATTCTTAAATCTTCTGAGAGGAAAGAAAATGGTATTTGTTGGAGACTCAGTGGGGAGAAACCAGATGCAGTCTTTGTTGTGCCTCCTAAGTCATGTAAGTGATAAACTCATACCTTATTTTTTCTGGCTTTTCCAAGAGAATCGAAGCCGAAAGTGTTCATCAAATTACTCCATCCTTGCATTGTACCACTCAATCTACCCTTTTGTCTCAATTTTTGAGAAATCATTCACTAGTTGCATTCATGACAGAAACTTTGTTAATCAGTTTGCTTGCATGATTATGTTCAAGGTTTAAATTGTGGTCACAGCCACAGTTTCATCGCAATCTTTGATATTGCGAGAAATTGTAGACTAATGTGGCCGGACCTCAGAAACCTTGATGCTGTTACAATTGAAATTGCGACAGCGAACTGTTTTTTTTTTAAACCTTGGGTATGTTAAGAAAAAGTTCTAATCATATGAAGATAACCAATCATAAAACATGATTGCGTGGTTTATTCTTTCAGGTGTCTGAACCTGAGGATGTTTCTCATAGATACTCTTCAGATGTCATGTACTTCAAACGGTATATCTATCATGATTACAATTTCACCCTTGCAAATCTATGGTCTCCATATTTTGTGAGATCCAGTGATGCTGACCCCAAAGGTCATTCCTTCAACAGCATCATAAGACTGTATGTGGATGAGGCAGATGAAGCTTGGACTAGTCAGGTTGAAAACTTTGACATTGTCATAATCTCATCAGGACAATGGTTCTTCAGGCCTCTATTGTTCTATGAAGAGGGTCAACTTGTGGGATGCAACAAGTGTGGGATGGAGAATGTGACAGACCTCACACACCTCTTTGGATACAGGAAGGCATTCAGGACAGCATTTAGGGCTCTCAATGATCTTGAAGGGTACAGGGGGGTCACATTTTTTAGGACATTCTCCCCAGCCCACTTTGAGGATGGGGATTGGAACAAGGGAGGGAAGTGTGTGAGGACTAGGCCATTCACCAAGCAAGAAATGAAGCTTGATGGGTTTGTTCTAGACATGTATATGACACAAGTGGAAGAGTTTATAGAAGCACAAAGGGTAGCCACAAAGAGGGGGTTGCAGTTTCTGATGATGAACACAACTGAAATTATGCTTCTCAGGCCTGATGGACACCCCAACAACTATGGACATTCTAAGGACAAAAATGTGACACTGAATGACTGTGTTCACTGGTGCCTGCCAGGGCCAGTTGATACATGGAATGAGTTTTTGCTGTATATGTTGGATATGGAAAGTGAGGCATATTATAGTTCAAAGCTTGAGAGAGTTTTTTAAGTGCATTGGATTTACCATGCTAACCACATGTGGAAGATATTGTTCACCATGTGGAGATACTTTTTTGTTGTTTATTTTTTGGGTTCAGAAAGTATATTGTATTTATCTTGTCTAGATATAGAATGTATATCCAAAGGTATTTGTGGACACCATTTTTCTTCATTAGCTGTCATGCATTATGAGTTGTGCTAAGTTGGGTAATATTTATGCCCAAGAAACTCAAATTCATCACAATAATTGCAAGTAAAAATGGCTCTTGTGATAACCCAACACTGATTTCACCACAAATATTTGAGTTGTTGTGAGATAAATGGAGATCAAATATACTGGTTTTCAACACTTGCTGGTTTGATCACTTTAGCCATTTATTTGAAAACTTTGACATATTTAAGAAATATTTCTATAAAAAGTAAACATTTTCAGCATTAAATTTCTATTGACTAAAAGGTTCTTTTATACCCAAAACTGCTTAAATATAGATATGTTTCTATATATTTTACTCATATTATATGTCAAAAACCATAAGTTACTTTTTGTTGGTCTACAAAAGACACATGCATACCGATGAGAATGAATAATCAAGAACCTTGAATATACAGTATGTTTGTGAATATAATTTATTTTATATCTAAAACAATATTATTAATATTGGATTTTTTAAAGAAAACGATGAGAAATTTTTTAAAAACAAATTACGAGTCAAATATGTAGAAGAATGTGTTATTACTTTTGAAAATAGAGACAAATTGTTACAGTTGTATAAATAAACGTTTACATTCATATTCGTATGTGGTTGAGATGGTTCCACACTTTGCAGACCCTCTTTATGGTGTAGGGTATAACTATTCAAATTATGAACGTACTGCACTATTCTACTGTACTAATTTCTTATTTACCTAAAATATTTCCCATCTCTTTCATCTAAAAATGCATGGTAGGGAATGTGCTCCCCTAATATCTTACAAATAAAATAACTGATATCTGCATTATTTTTTTATTATATTTCTCATAATTGATTTCACATTTTCTTTTAAAAAGTAAAAGACTAAACCAAAATATTCAATTCAAAGCTAAAATATTAGATTGGATCGCATTTTAATTTGAGTTAAATAAATGGATTTATGAAACATAAATTAGGTGGTTAAATAAAATATATTTCTCTTGAAAATTGATTTAATTAAATCTAAGAACTTCAAAACAGGACCAAATAGGGGAGACTCGTAGGGTTGGTATAAGCATTAACCGCATTAAAATACTTTTGTCTGTTGAGAGGATATGAAATGAGTGGAGGGGAAAAAACTTCAAATTTGAATCGAAGAGAAAAAAAAAATTTGAATTTTTAATTTCTAAAATAAAAATTTTATTTGTATTTTATATATTGTTTCCTTGTCACATCCAAATATATATTATAAAAAAAAAACTAGTTATTTGATCTTCAAAAAATTACATAAACTTTTCATTTTATTTCTTGTATTTACAAACATATAAGTTTCATGTTCAATTTCAACATTCTCGTGGCGTTCAAATAATATTTGGTATCCGAAAACCACGTCTAGTGAGCACATATAATTTCTTAGTTGTTAGTTCGAGATACTGTGTAAACTATATCCATTAAAAAAAAACTTTCATTTTTTTGAATAATAACAAAAATTGAATTATTTCAATAATTGATTTATAAAGTTTGCAGAAAACTGGTTTCGTGATAGGTAACTGAAATTTTGAGATTTATGCTATCCCAAACATGTTTTTTCAATCTCTACTATAATGGAAACTTAAGAAAATGATTTTCAGAATAAAAAAACAAAAAGATGTTTTTATAACTATAAAACCAAATAAATAATTAAACCTAAAATATAAACAAAAGACATTGAAAATAGAACAAAACTTAGATCAGTACAATTTGTGATGTTCTCTAATTGACGAATACTAATTGAAGAATAACAAAATAAAAGTTCAAAACTCCACATCAATAATACTTTATCATGTAAATTATCACAATAAAACTTCAAAACTAATTGAAGAATAACACAAAGAGAATTGTTACAAATGTATCTAAGTTTTTTCCTTTAATTACTAGATTTCCAACCATGACTCGATAATAAGTGGTTATAAAGAAGCAAGATTCATCTTACATGCAAATTTGTACATTGTTCTACTGAGAAATAATCATGACGGAGACGAGACCAAACAATAAATTCGAACCTAGAATCTCACGTTGAGAGGGAGTAGTCCCTGTTGTTAAACCCAACCCGTCGTGTTCATACAAACCTTAACTTAATGAAATTTATTTGAATGAGTAAATCTTATGTGACTTTGGCCACTCGGTAGCAATAACTTTAACTATTTCATTTTGGAACGCCATCTTTTGTCAATAGTAAAATCAATTTAAATTTAGTTTACCGTAGCTATTACATCATAGGTACTTTATATTCAGCACATATTCTGCTGCAAAACTTCATTTTTCTTGTACTTATCTACGCTCCGACTGTTACTTTACGCATAGATGCTACATTTTGATCAAACTTCAAAGCATGAAGGAAAAAAAAACATTTGTGCAAATAAAGATCTGTATATATGTGCAAGGGATATTTAATAGTACAAATAAAGATTCGAATATGCAGAGTAAAAATTAACATGCCATCTTCACGTGTCAATCAAAGCTAGTTAAAAGGATATCCTGATGAATACCAGTATATGTAAAGCTAAAATATAGAGCACAAATGCAGACCTGAATAGCATAAGCCTCTGCTGGGTTTCAGTTCTGCCAGCAGAGTGATAAGGAAGCCTCTGATGGCCTTCATAATCTGACAAACCGTGTAACTTATCTGAGGAGCTTTTACCGAAACGATTTCTAGCCGCAGTGTTCGCCTCCAAATTGCTGCTTTCTGTTTGTCGCCATAGCCCATTCAACCTTTCCAGTTCCATCTCTTTCAAATGAATGTCACCAAGTAAGCCCTCAGCTTGTGCCTGAAGGTATGGGAGTCAGACAGTTAGTTAAACCCCTTCACATCCAAATAATAAATCAAACAGTTGTCAACTAGCAATTGACAATTTTTTTCTATCTTGAAAAAAACAGAGGGAGGGAGAAATTAGAAAACACAGCGCCCTATATTATGAAGTGTAAAAAGGACCTGTTTTACGGCCAGTTGCTCAATTAGACCATGAAGTTGTTTATCCAATGTCTTCTCTCTTTGTGCTGCAGAACAAGAATGCTTATGAGCCAAAAAAATACATGCAGTCATGAAAAATGCTTCCCAGTTGTACAGAATCACTGGGAGAATTAACACAATAAAAGCAATAAAAATTGTATTTATGTCACAATATGGTTTAGTGGATTTTCTAAGAGCATGAAATAGTATCCAATGTTATTCAGATGTGAAACAAGATTAAAGTCTCCCCAACTAGGTTCTTTCTTTTGACCCTCAGCCTCATTAATTGTGGCTTGCAACATTTCTTACAAAAAATAAGTTTATGATATTTTTTCTTAGTGTGGTCAATTCAATGATGGTTCATGACATATGCAAACAGAAAGGACAAAAGTATATACCACCTTCAGCAAAAAAGCAACACAAATAAACAAAGTGCAAGGAATAAAAAGAGGAAAGTATAACTAAGGGCATAGCTTATGCTTTCAGATTAAAAATTATCATACAGATATATGGAAAAACAATAACAAACTCTATTTCTTTTACAGTTCTAAGCATTGAAAGCAGCATGATTGGTATCTCTAGCATCAGCTAGGTGATAAATTTCCCACTTCCAATTTCAAGGGATCCAAGATTTATAATTTCATCTTTCCTCCCACATGAAGATTTATGGTAAGAAATTTGGGAAAACTAAACTACAAAAGCTAGTCATTGTAGTTGAAGAACTTAAGACCATATAAACCCCACCCTAGACTCTCGTACTTCTAATGCGGAATTTGAGTCCCATGTATGATATGCCATCATACCTGGGGAAGGCTGTTTAAGTGCATTTTCCTGCACTTTTGCCCATTTCTTCTCCAACTCTTGTACAGCATCCTCCATTGAACTCTGAAATGAAATGAGGGTTATTAATTTGTTAAATTTAATTAAATGTCATCCAATCATAATTGTCATATACATGATAAGCATGTTGACTTTTGTATTCATCATTACTAAAAAGTCATATCCAGTGTGATTTCTAACTGGTTGATAATATAACATCTTTCTATTGATAAATATAAAAACAAGAACTCTCAATTTGGTAAAGTATCAACATAAATAGTTAAATTACATCTAAAATATATAGCATAGATCATATTAGTCCTTCAAATGATGGAAAGAGTAATTAGCACTACCGGCATTGTTCATTTACTATTTACCCATCCACTAATAAAAATGCTACAGTTCGGCACATAAAAGAGAGTGCATGATTAACGGACCAGCTCCTTCCTCTTCTGTTCCAATTTATCTAGTAAAGCCGATCTCGATGCTTCTGCATCTGCATCAAATCCAGCTTTAGAATTTGCCTTCATTTCTTCCTCCCAACCATCAGATACCCAACTTTCCTGCTTCATATTCTCCACCTCAGCTTTCAGTTTCTTCTCAGTCTCATCCATTTCCTGTGACACACTAAATCAAAAAATAAAAAAACAATTGAACCAAACCCAACCTCACAAGTCACAATCAATTCGCAATCATAACCTGCAACTTTGTCCTTAGTAAATCAGCCTCCTGCAATTTCTCCTTTATTTTATTTTCACAATCCAATATTGCATTTTCATATGCAGCATTCTCTTCCTTCAATGTCACCTCTCTAAGTTGGGCCTGCAACACAAATCATCATCATTAGCTGTAGTAGTACTTTACGTTGACTGTCCCCAAGTAATGCAAATGTGTGCCTTTACTTCCACAAGTTTCAATTTTGTCAAGTGAGTACATCAAGTTTTCTGCTATTTATAATTTGGTCCCTACTCCTTGATTTCATCTAATATTTAACTGAACTCGCCAACATGGTAAACTGAACATGGCAAAATGCGAATGAATACATACAATGTTACCACCAGCTAGAAAACATGATTATTTGATAGTTGTGTTTGTGATTCTTGGAGTAAGTTATTGTTTGTAGACCACTGCTAAGAACACACTCTTAAACATGTTCTTTCTAAGACATTGGATTATATTTATTGTTAACTACAAAATGAGGGGAAATGTTCATTAAAATAAGACCTGGAATCCACAGAATTATATATTTTCCAATAAATTTAAACCAATAAGAGAGAGTGTGTTCAAAAGAGTGTATCAAACAGAGTATTTCTAACATTTCTTCTTGCTTTTACACAGTAATGGACATAGAAAGGAGGATCATCATTTCATTCTGAGCAAATCAACAACTTAGAATTAGAAAGAATCAAGATGTACAACTCAATTGTAAATGGAAGAAAACTTAAGAGACTCAACTGGCGTAGTTGGAATACAACCCTTCCAAAATGTATAACCTTGGAAATTCCAACAATTTTGTTCAATCAATACAAATTGTAACCTCGACCTACCCTATATTTCAATTCCAGCCACAGATTGTGGTTATAGGCTCAACAGGATTTATTCCTAACACAGAAAAATTCTAACAATAACTTACATGTGTAAAAACATAAGCTTTTTTCATGAATATGAAAATTTGTAGTTTATGATTATTTTCCAACCGTTTTTCCCTTTCACCTTCATACACTCTTTTTCTTATATAAAAATTGATTTATTTTTTGTTTCCAAATGAAATCAATTAAAATATAATTGAGTTATTGTTCGCTTTAGAACTTTAGTTTATCACGATTTTATCTTTAAAAGACGTTTCGGTGAGTCCTAACAATACTATTATGTTGGATATGAGACCAAGACACTCTCATTCCTAGATAAAACATAGATAAATGCTAATAATAACCTAAATGTGCAAAAAACATGTTTTTTTTTTTTCATGAAAAAGAAAATTTTTAGTTTATAATATTTTCCAACAGTTTCTCCCTTGCAGCCTCATACACTCTTCTTCTAACGGATTTATGTTTTGTTTCCAAATGAAATTAATTAACATATAACCATTTTTCAGCAAACTAATCGCCAACAAAAATTGATTCTGATTACAGTCTATTAAAACAACATAATCAATTATACATATAACAATCCAATATTGAAATAATTCAATTTTTGCAGTTATCCCAAACCAAACACACTCTGAGTCTCTTCATTTAGACTCATCAAAATTGAGAGATATCGCAAGCATTCCTATTTAACATAATAACACAATAATGTTTGCACTCTGTTAACATTATTTATTTGGTACCAATTGTGGGAGGGGAATTTTCAGATTGCGTGTGGACTTACAAGTTCTCCAATGGTGTTAGTTATTGTTTCTGACAATTAATAATTCGTATATGTCTCAATAAAATGTTTAAAAAAAAATTAAAGTACTTATAATTTAAGAGGGTAATTCAGGGTATATGTGAGAGATAAAAATGGCACAATTACGGTATATGAGAGAGTAAAAATGCAATTAAGGGTATTAGCTATGGACCTGTTGGCGCGTGGCGGAGTGGGAGTTCAATTGGAGGGCGAGGGCGGCGTTGGAGGCGAGGGAGTGGGCGTGGAGGTGCGGGAGGCTCTGGGAGATATCCTGGGGAGGCAATCTCAGCCGTAGATCATGGATCAAACGGCGGAGAGAACCCGCCTTCTGATCCAGTTCGATCACGTACTTTTGCTGCTCTTCAGAGAATAAGATTGGGATAAAGGAGTCGTCCTCCGCTTCCTTTCCTCCGCCACCTCCCACCGCCCATGCCAGTAACCCAGCCATGCCTTACAAGCTAACTCTCTCTCTCTCTCTCTCTCTCTCTCTCTCTCTCTCTCTCACACACACACACACACACACTCACACACTCTCACTCAATCTCTCGAATTTTCTGACTCTTTCGTTCAATATCTTCACTCACCTTCCATTTTTTCCGATCTGCGGTGGTTGATTTCGGAGTTGGGAATTAGGGTCGTTTGGTTCGTTAAGTGGTCCTCATTTCCATTTTCTTTTAATATATTTTAATAACTTACTTTTTTAATTAGTGTGTTTAAGCATTAATTAGTTAACTTAATTATATATTTTATCACTTAATTATAATTTTGTTTAAAAATTTATTATTCATTTTTTTACTATTTTATTATTATATATTTTGTATTTTACTTATCGTATAGATTGGTTAAATATACAATAAATTGTTAACATGTACTTACAAAATATATTAGATGTGCTTATTTCCTGATTTGTACACATTTAATTACAAAACATGATGTTAAAATATCAGAAAAAATAATAAGATGTGCAATTCAAATTTTGATGTTAAATGTATGAAATATAGATTATAAAAATGGTAAGAAAAACATAACTGATTAATAAAATATACACTTAAATTTAACTATTATTTTTAATTAAAATTAGCACATAAACAATAAAATTTAATTATTTATAATAAAAATGCATCATGCGAGACTCAGTGTTGTTCTGTAAGATAAATTCTTTGGAGTTGTTAATTCGTTTAAAATTAAAAATGAAACAGTTCTCATAAAAGTGTTTCAATAGTTATAATTTGAAGATATAAAAAAAATCTTATTTATGTTTAAGAATTTATTCAAAATAGATTATAATTTTTGTATGTATCTATTTGTTTAAAAAACTTAAATTAACACATAATTATATATCTTAAAAATAGTTGTTTATATATAAAAAAAAATTGTGAAGGTGGTTCTTGCTTGTTTCTTTCGGCATTTTTATATTTATCTAAATTTATAATTTTGTTTTTAATATAAATATATTTTGGAAATGTATTTTATAATATATTTTTGGGTTGTATTTTCTGAAATTTATTGTGGTGCATAAAGAAACAGTTACATTCTACGGTGCTATTAAAATAGCCCATGTTACAGATTAATGGGCCAGGTATGAACCCAACAAAGGCCTTTGCTTTCTACACCCCAAAACTTTCAATTTACCCACTGTCCACTTTCCTTGGTAGCATAGAAGATGCAAACGGTGAAGAAGGTAGTTTCAAAATAAAAGTTATCCAAAATGGATATTCAGAATGCAATAAAAACAATTAAAAAAAATAAAATTCTAGAATGAAAGTGGGAGGATAATGAAAGAGAAGAACGATGTGAAAGAGAATAACGATACCTATAAGAGCAAATACAAAATTTATATTGCTTGGGAGGATAATGATTCTTCCACAACACAAAAGAGTTCTTCCGAAAGCAGTGATGGAGAAGAAGAAGCAAATTTTTGCTTGATGACAAAAAGTGATGATGAAGTCTCATCACAGGTAAGTAGTACAAATTCCTTAAATGAATATGAAGAGTTATTTAAAGAATATCAAGATATGTATGAAGGTTTTACCAAGTTATCTAAGAAATACAATGCACTTAGGCAAAAGTTTAATGCATTAGAAAATACTGTTAGTTTCTTGAAAAAGAAAATGAGTGCTTAAAGAAAGATGTTGAGAAATCTAAAACTTTGTCTAAAATTAAAGAAGTTGTTAAACCTTGTGAAAATTGTAATCTTTTGGAAAATGAGATTTTCAAGTTAGAGAAAATAATAAACAATTTTTTAAAATCTTCTGAAAATCTTGATTCGATATTAGGTTATCAAAGAGGAAATTCTAGCAAAGCTGGACTTGGTTACAAACCCAAAGAAAGTCTAGAACCTCATAAAACTATTTTTGTGAAAGAGTCAAGGAAAACAGATGTGAAACCAGTTTCAAAAACTTTAAGAAACATATTTAGACATTTTCAAAGAAAACCATGTTTTTATTGCATAAAATTAGGTCATACATCAAATAGATGTTACATACAACATTTTGGCATATCTAATGGCAAATATGAATGGGTGCCTAAAGGAACAAAACATTTATACATGTCTAGATGATAATTTGAGCATCTAATTGATTATCAGAATCGGAATTTTTTTTCTTGTTGTCATAATCAATTATGTTGACCAACTTTAAAATTTGAAAGTTTGAATTTTGAAAATTTGAATTTATGAAAATTTGAAATTATAAAGTTTGAAATCTTGTAATTTGAGATTCTTGAAATTTGAAAAATTTTGCAGTTTGAGATTTTTTTTTTAAATTTGCGAGTATAAGATTTTTGAAATTTGAAATTTTGCAATTTGAAATTTTTGAAATTTGAAATTTTGCAGTTTGAGATTTTTTTGCAATATGAGATTTTTGAAATTTGAAATTTTGCAATTTGAGATTTTTGAAATTTTGTAGTTTGAGATTTTGAAATTTGAAATTTTTGCAGTTTGAGATTTTTGAAATTGAATTTAAATTGAAATTAGAAATTTGAATTTGAAATTTAGGATTAGAAATTTGAATTTGAAATTTGGAATTGGTTGGAATTTGAATTTGAAATTTGAAATTTGTTGAAATTTGAAATCTATAATATGAGTGCATTTTAATTTGAAAGCTGCCTAAATAAGAAGACTGCAATGGAGGGAAACTACTGCATTTAATTCCATCATCTCTATAATCATTTTATTCCCTTATCTTTCTCTCTCTTCATTTGTTTTGAGTATCCTAGATATTATTTCCTTAATATGATATTCTTTTTTATGACACTTTTTAATGCATTATCTTCTCTACCTTGATTTATATACTAATATGTACAAATTTGTTCTCAGTTTCTATTGCAATATTTTTCATAATTATCAATGAAACAGAAAGATATTTTGATGATATTAATCTGTGTGAAACAGGGGGAGATTTTTTTTCTCATATAATATTTTTCATAATTATCAATGAAACATGGAAATATTTTGATGATATTAATCTATCTGAAATAGGGGGAAATTTTTTTTACTCTAATAATATTTTTTATGATTATCAATGAAACAAGGGGAGATTTTTTGATGAATTAAAATCTGTGTGAAATTCTTTCTTATCTAAATTAAACAAGGGGAGTTAAGAGAAGTCTTTGCTCATATGAGTTAGGGGAAGTCTTGTTATTAATATATCCAGAGGGAGATTAAGAGACTCTGACACTTGATACAAATCTGTGCTAATCTTGAGCTGGCTATATAGAGTCAAACATTTTAATTGATTTCAGGTGTTTTCTTGATCATCATAAAAAAGGGGGAGATTGAAAGTAATGAGGGGGAGATTTATGGAAATGTCCCTACATTCCCAAGAGATGATTTTGATGATGATTCAAGTCAACACCATTCAAAATGAATTAAGGACAAGCTGAATTTATGATGTTAGTAAAAATGTGAAACATTTCCCTACATGCCCAATATATGTTTTTTATAAAGATGATGATTCAAACAAGCCCAAGATGATTCCTGAAGAATAGATAGAGTCTTAGAATAGTGAATATGAAGGTATAAGTTGATGAAGTAATATTATGCATAAGCCTCTAAAGCATAAGTGTGATAAAATTCATAACATGATATTTTTCACTGTCATAATTAATTATGATGCACTAGAAATAGAAAAATGATTTTCTCTATCATAATTAATTATACTGGTAATATAATCAATTATGGCAATTCAAATTTGAAAAATATATCCGTTTTAAAGAATAAATGTTTTTGAATATATCATGATTTTCTCTATGATATTATTAATGTCCAACGACCATTTTTTGATGCTATTTTTCTATTTAATTAAGTTTTTATGAAAAATAAAAAATACACAATTACAGAATTCGAAAATACAATTTACATTCAATCAGTTTTGAGAAAAGAATTCTGAACAAGGCAACAGAGATATTTTACACATTTTAAGAAAACCCTCTTCTCTACTGCTTTCTGTGCTTTCATTGTTAATCACACTTGTTCTTGGAGATTGACATTTTACAGGCTTCTACAATTTGTTATCTCCATTACCCAGGTATGTTTGTTCTTATTTTTATTACCTTCATCTTTTTGCATTGGTGGAAAATGAGGTTTTTTTCATCCCTAGTGTAATTTTAGGGAGGTGTTCATCCTTAGTGAGATTCTAAGGAGGTGTTTTTATCCTTTGATTTGTTCGGAAGAGATGTTCATCCCTAGTGGGATTCTAGGGAGGTGTTCATCCTTAGTGAGTTTCTAAAGAGATGATTGTCTTTTTAATTAGTTTACTTTTTACTGGTTCTTCTACTGAGTTGATTGTAACTTGTAAACTGAATTTGAAAGATAGTGAATGGGGAGTCACTCTTGTGTTAAGAGTTGACTGCGAACTGGATGTAGGGTTGACTATACCTGAACTAGTATAAATCTATGTGTGCTCTTCTCTTTCTCTTATCTCTTTCTCTTTTCCTGATTATATTATTCTTCCGCTTTAACAAATGATTGACTCACAAATAAATTTTTAATTTGACATCTATTTTAATTTGTGCATCTATTCACCACCCTCTAGATGTCATTTGTCTAACAACCAATTTTCATAAAAACACTAAATTGTAAACATGTTTCATTTCAATTTTCAATTAGGTTAACTATCACTAGGGTGGATTTTTAATTTATGTAGTATTTTAAAACATAAATAAAAAAACAAGATAAACATATATAATTAATTTCAACAAATAAGTAAAAAAGACAATTACTTTATTTTTGAAAAAGAAATGGGTAAAATTTAACTTATAATTGTTAATTAGTGTAAAATAAGAATATTTTTCTAGAAATATGCCATGTTCAACGTATTTTAAATAGTTAGTGTTGGTAAATTTTGAGATTTTATGTTTCACAAAATTAGCCAGAAACTAAATAATTATGTAATTGAATCGGTTTATTAAATCATAGTTATTTGGTAAAGTTATATCTTGAAATAGCTC